CCACCAGAATTGTAATTTGTTTCTTCATAATTATGTTGTTTAAAACACAAGTATTAGTTATGACACAGAAAAAAATGTGCTAAGTTTAAATTTCCATCTACATTGAGCCATTTTGACCTTGATCTTTTGTCATGAAAATTGATTTTTCTGTTTGTGCTACTGTGTACCACATATCTAAATTTAGTTTTAATCCATTATAAAATATTCAGGTATTTATATGGAAACTGATTGTAGATACCCATTGCCCTTGTCTGGAATTCTTTAAAAAAAGCATAAGTTTGTAGCCATGGTAACATGAAAACAAAATATGAATACCAAGTGTGTCTTTGCAGTTTCTATTAGACCTATATATGGACTTTCAAACCAATGTATTTATTTTTTCCCAAATGTCCGCAAAATTTTATACCAGGCTTTTCAAAAGAGCCTAAAATCTACAATTTTCCCCCAGAAAAATCCTACCTAAAAACGGGGGATATTTTTTCTATGAGGTAAAGTTACTCAAATACTAGAAATAATCTAAAGAACTATAAAAATGATGTATTTTGGCAAAAAGATGAAGTCATGTAAATATCTTGTTCTATTAAAGACTTTTAATTAGTCAAAAAAGATCATTTTTCATCAAAATTTAGCATTTTTTAGGCCATGAAAAATGTATGTTGGTTGCTATGGCAACCATTGATCATAGCAACCATTTTATTATGAATTTCAGTTTCATACATCAATATAGCAATGTGTGCCAAGTTTCATAAAAATCCAAGACCTAGCGTGCCACACTCCCTATATAAGAGTTTAAATGCTTACAGAGAATGGCTATTAACATTTCATTTATAAATTAACATAGAATATGTGCATTGTTTCATCGAGTAAAAATTAAATCCATTCGCTCATCTCACTCTTTTAAAAGTAAACACGGTCGTAAAATGTTCAGATTTAGCTAATAATTCATCATTGGTCACTTAAAAAACCCAGGCAGCGGTAGTCACTACCGCATTTTCTATAGGAGGAGCTTATCAAGATAACACAGAGCAGCTGGTTATATTTAGCATCACTTTCCCTTATCAGCTGATAAGCACATGGCTAACCTTATAATCTGTTGACTATTGCTTTCTACAATTTACCAGTTTAAGAATGTGTGAAGGTTAACATATGTTTTATTTAATAGCTTTCAAATAATTAAATATAGTAGTGAAAAGATTTTCTGATAAATTACTCATACAAAATACAAATTTAAAAAAGCTACCATCTAATAAAGTATATTTTTAATATGATGTCAACAAAATTACTAGTATTTGTAACAATTAATTATACCTTTTTGAATACGTTTTCACTGTTACAACACAAACAGAATGTCACTTTCTGTAGAATGCACTAATAATTTTATCCCACAAGATAAGTGTAAATTTATTTGTTTTAGGCACAAGGTTTTTATGTCCAGATCTTGCTCTTGGTCGTCTAGCATCCTCATAATTACTTATTGAAGTATACTCGCGATCAACATTCTCATTCCAGTCTAGAACAGCTATATGAGATCTGCGTTTGTATTCCTCATCACCAAATTTAATCCGTTTATCGTGATAAATAAGAAGAGCGTTATTAAAGGATTCAACATAATGAGTGTCAATACAGTTGACATAATCATCTGGTGTTTTGTAAATTTGAAGTTTTCTTATTTCATTTTTCAAAATTCTCTCTGCATCTGAATCATTAAGAACGTGTTTGGATGGTTCATAGTTGGGATCACATTTACATCTTGACTCTGTGGAACAATTTTCATGATTATTTTTATAATGTTCAACTATGTTGTCCAGAAATTCTCGGAGTTTCTTTGATGATCCTTGGCAGTTTTTCATGGCATAATAAGTATGTGTTTTAATAGATGCAACATTATCTGAAAGATCCGGATGCCAAGTGATGCCTCTGTATTTCAGTGGACCATTTGCAATTTTCTTCATTTCCTTGCTGACATTCTTGCTTGCGTGCCATGTATCATTTGCTAGAGAAGGCTTATTCTCGGACAAATATTTGTTAACACTTGCATTTCTGTTATGACCATGAAGGTTGACAGAAACATCCTTCTCATCAAAATGGTTGTAAAGAAGTTCAACTCCTTTCATTTCATGTCTCTGACTTACAGGATCGTCTTGTCTTGTTACAACCTCCAATCCAACAACTCGATGGTGTGTTTGGCCTAATGCAACAACATCTGATTGGGCTGCATTTCTTCTCCAACCATGGCGGGCATCTGTCATGATATTTATTCCATTATACTGGGTTCCATTTTCTTCTTATTTTAGGATTTCTGTTGCTACTTCTTCATTGATTGCCTCAGTTACTGATTCCTCAGCCATATCTCTAGTAACAGAACAGTATAGATCATGTTGGCTTTCAAATGCACTCTCTGGTATAACCCCTATATTTCCAGCATCACACAGTCTCTTGTATTGACTGTAGCGTAATCCTGTTGCATAGACAGAATGCACCATTCTCAAATTTACGAGAAACATTCCACCTGGCAAATGTTGTGATGAATCTGCCGAAATCAAGTGGTTTTCCTTGCAGGCAGATGTCACCTTAGCAGTATGACCAAACCTTTGCAATTTCTTTATATCCAAAAACTCCTGACAAGTTTGGCCATGATGTTGAATTCCAGAGCAAATGGTTCTCATTGCTGAATTAGATGTTAAAAACATATCCTCATCTGTTGTTTTTTGGTCACATGGTAAATAAGGCTGAAAGTTCAGTTTTTCCTCTTGAGGTGTATTATCTGTTAATCCATGCATTTGGATGAAAAAGTCAAACACACTGTTCAGTAACTGCTCATTTGTTACAGATGACACTTTTGTTTGATTTTGTCCATTTTGTTGTAAACAATAACCTTTTCTTCTTCAGATTTAACATAAAATCTAATACATCCAGTAACAAGTGGTTTTTCTTGTACTTTGCGCCTTTCATTCCGAACTTTCATTTCTTATCCAGCGTCAGATCTTCGTTTCTTTCTCCCTTGTTGTTCTCTATTCTCATCTCGTATTCTCTTTCGTACTTGTTCATCCATCTTTACTTACCTCTTTATCATGTAATAACAGACTTTGTGAATATGTAAGTAAATTGTCTGTCAAGTCAGCAGGTGGTTCCAGCCCAACTATGGTCAGTGGGGGTGCCATAGGGTAGTCAGAATGATTTCTGTATTAAGAACTCATTATCATATACTATCATATTTGTTTCTTATTTAATTTTCTTATAATGTTTTCTTTAATTTTGCCTTGTGCCCTTTTATTTTTATAACTTACTAATTATATAACTATGAGAATGTGCAACTTGGTAAAACAAAATTGTGGCCTCCTTTATATTAATCTGCATCTCTGACCATAGACATGTTTACTTCATTAGATAGAGGGTAATGTAAGGGGGTACATTACATGATTTAGACAATGTTATTAACAATTTGAACATTACATTTTAATAAAAATCGAACAGCAGTACAAAAAAAATTAAAATATTTAAAATCATTTTCAAAAAAACTTTATGGACAGCATTATGCACTACATTTTGATGCTATCATACCCTTGACTTAGTCAACTCTTCCACAGTACATGCTGTGAAGTTTGGCGGGAAGATTTTTCAGTGGTCAATCAGTTTTCTTTGTCTTGACCATTCCATTGGAAGCCATATCAGTGAAGGAGTTATCGTGTTTTTGCTATTTTTTTGTTATGTCTGAAGCCATATCAGTGAAGGAGTTATCGTGTTTTTGCTATTTTTTTTGTTATGTCTGAAACAAGGAGACAAGTGTGTTTGAATCTTACAGAAATTGAACTCAATTCTGTCCAAGCTTTGTTTTCACACAGTGAATGGGATTTTGATTCTTGTGTTGTTTTTAATAACTGGTCAGAGGGAAATACCGATGAAGAGATAAGACCTGCTGTAAACCAGGAGATAATAGTCTGCAACACAAGTGAAAATCCTGGCCAGAATGAGGAGCAGCAACCAGCGGGTGGTAATCCTGGACATGGAGATGATGATGAAACACCACAGGTAAATGACCAGGAATGCATGTATTGTTTTTGTCATCCATGTGTAACTACAAACAGACAGAGTTGGCTTGGAAACGGTTCACCACCTCATGTTAGGAACTCTGCAATCAGGAAAACCAAAAACAAGAAATTCTGGACAATGATGTCAAGAAGATATGCGTGGAATCATCCGCGATACATTGCTAAGAAGGCTGAAAAACTTAATCAAGGTGACTGTGAGAATAAAGTGTGGACACTCAGAGAAATAATGCCTGAATGTGTATTATCTTTAGTTAGGGATTTATATCCTAATCCTTTAGGAAGGCCATACATGGGACACAATTTGTTATAATACTCTAAATATTATGCAACTAACGTGCATTAAAACCTTTATTTTCAATAATAAGTATGACAAATATAATATTTTTGTTTTGAATATTGATTGTGTATATGGATTTATTCAATTTAGCAAGGAATTTCAATGCAGTAAGTGGCTAATAAACTTGTTTATGAATCCACATGGCTCTGTTTATTTACATCTCTGCTTTGTTCATTACAATTCAATATGACCAGGGGTCAACTTGCCATATATAGAGCAGAGGTAAATTTGAAATCTGTTCACTTCAGATGTTTTGATGTATATTTTGGCATATAAAATAATCAATCAATGAATATTTTTACATACTGGAATAACTGAAAAGTAAATGTACTACTGTGCCAATTTTTGAGCCAGTACAACATATTAAGATGTGATTACTTTTCAAAACATCTCTGCTCAGCTAAACATGTAGGATAATATGTGATTTTCAAATTTAAGCTCCTCCCATTTCCTTTTATACTCCAGGCCTGGGTTTAAACAAAATGGGAAATAAGTCATTTACCCATAACAAGGAAATTTTTATATGAATTTTTAAAATAGTCAATTCATTGAAAATTATCAAGCAATTATACATGTGTATATGCTTTTATCACTATATATCTTTCATAAAAAGATATTAGTGATGGGTGTCTTTGGAAGCAATCGACACTTAAGGATTTGTGTCATAATCTGTTTCTCGATTGTAGCAGGGACACACTCACTTCAATGTTTAGGGTAAGTACAGGTAATAAGTTTAATACTAAGTATCAGAAAACGGGTTGGCTTCTCTTGTTGCTTGTAAGTATTGTACTTATTTCAAACCTTTTAAAACTTATAGTATTAACCTATCCTTAGAATATTTTTTCCTTAACCTATATATTCAGTGCTTGATTACCAAATATAACGTTACCTTAATCAGTATTGAATATGACATGTAATTAAAGTAACATTTCAATTCGGGGATTTCAGATATTTTCAATATTTAAATGTACACAGTGTTAGTAAGTAACAAATAAATATTTGTGTGTTGTAGTGACATTTTGTATGCATGACATTTAAGGTACAATATGTGTGTAAAAATTAACCCTGTCCATTGACTCTACAAGTCGCATAGGCCTATAATATTTGAATTTCTGCATGCGTTGGTGTATTTTATGTTTACTTATGGGCAATAGTAAATTATATTGTACAATTTTTAAACAGATTTACAGCATTGTATTTCAGGTATTCAGACATACACGGTACATTTTATATGCATTGATCTCTGTTGTACAGGAGGAATGGGAAGTACGAGTGTTGTAACGGGTATATGTGGAACGAAACATTGCAGAACTGTGACACAAGTAATTTTTTTAAGTAGATGCATCAATTAAGAGAAAACATGCAACAAATAAAGATACAAAAATTAGAACGCAATGTAAGTTAGATTTCCCTTTCGGTTACCTCAAACGTTTAGCTACATATAGAAACATTGGTGGCATTTTCCAAAATGATAACATTCCAAGATCATAGTTATGTAAACAGATAAAAGCCAAATCTAGTTAAATTTCTCGCCACAAATGATATGAAATCAAAGGTCTAACTCATGACAACACAAGACACATCGTCATAGGACGATACACGAAAGCGCCATTGCAAACATCACTAGTCTTTATTTAGGGATATTTAAAGAAATGCAATATATAATATATATTTACTTTTTAAAGTAAAAAAAGATATTGGTATATTTATTATAAGGTCAAATGTCGATTTCTCTCTGGGGTCATGATGACACGTCCTCTTTTGATTATGAACACAGCTGACAAATATTACAGGTCAATATTCAAAAAAAAAATGTATGGCCCGAACACATCAACTGAGCACAACTGAAAAATATCACAGGCCAATATTAAAAAAATAAATATTTGCGGCCCGAACACACTTCTTTTTGAGAAGATCCAATATAATAATGATAAAAAGTACTTCTACGTAAAACTGCAAAGGGACATTCATTTTTATGCAAACAGACAAATTGTGTAACTTATTAAATAAGTATCTATGAAATTATACTATTAAGTCTCCATCAGAAGAGAAGAAAGAGCAGAGAGAAATCTTATGTGGGTTTGGAAATCTGTGATTTAGAATAAAGAATCATTTGACCGTAATAATATATATTCAGTTGAAATATTAAGCTGTAAAATATATCATAAGTAACTATTTTCTTATTGGCACCAATTTTATGTAAAGTAAAGGTACTACAAATAAAGCGCCGCACTTTGTGATTGAAAGTCGAGACATTAATCAGAATTTATATAACACTATATAGACTATAAATTTTTGTACTTAATTGCATCAAACTCTAAAATGTTTTAAATTTTACTTATTCATATACATTCATATACATGTACTGAATGTATACAATTGGGTAATTCTAGCTTCAAAACTGTAGCCCACTGGTCTCCTCTCCATTTTTGATTGTTTGTGAGCATTTCTGCATCAAGGAAATCCATATATCTTAAGTTAGATTTTCAAGAACATGCAAGTTTAAAATCTGTGACAACAGCTTTTATTATCCCCTTAGTCCGTATTGAAACTAAAAAAACCCATCCCCAATAGGCGATTCAAATTGTATGGCTTATTTTTTATTATTATTATTTTATTTTATTTGCTTTTTTTGTTCTTTTTTGTTTTGTTCTTTTTTGTGTTGTTTGTTTGTTTGTTTGTTTGTTTGTTTGTTTGTTTGTTTGTTGTTGTTTTTTTTTTTTTTTTTTGGCTTACATGAGTCATGAGGAATTAATAATACTTTTGTTAGTTTGCATTTCTCCAAACTGCAAATAGTTTTGAGATTAAGCAAATGTAATTTTACTTCTTTTCCATTTTAATAGTTTTTAATTCATATTCTGACCAGTCGGCACAATAACATAAATTTCTTTCTTCGACTTGCATAGTATGTCTGAATATTTTGTACGTAATAAAAGGAAAATATATATATTGCTAAAATTAGTGCGCACATGAAAATGCAGCTTAACTTAATATTTTCATATCGGAAAACTGAAATAATGAGAAGTATAATTACAAATAATTTAATATTTGTATATATTTGTTATATTTCTAAATTATAGATTAATTTCCGTATTAAATTGCATTTTCCTGTTTCCACTTATCCTTTGCACAGCATTTTTATTTTTTACTCTTGAAAAAGTATATATATATATATATATATATATATATATATATATATATATATATATATATATATATATATATATATATATATATATATATATAATGACTCCAAAGTGCGATGGGACTCCAACGCCCGATGGTCACGCCAAAGTCCGATGGTCTGCACCAAACCCCGATGGTTCACACGCAAAAGTCCGATGGCGCAAAAAAAAAAAAAAAAAAAAAAAAAAAAAAAAAAAAAAAAAAAAAAAACTATTGTTTCTGCTCCAAATTGCGATGCTGCGCCACGCCAAGATAAAACGGTTTGAAATAAATTAAATGAATTTTAAGTATTTAAACACCAAAGTACAAATGTAATATGGTTCACTAAAAACACAAAAATATATTGTACCACTAGCTATAATTTCTGAAGTGGTTGCGAGGCTAACCCTTACCTTTCGGATGGGTGCGAGGCTAACCCTAATCTCTCTGATGGGTGCGAGGCTAACCCTAATCGGTCAAAAGTCTAAAATCCTGGATGGGAGAGAAACTAACCCTAATCAGTCAAACCTCTTTTGGGGTAGGAGACTAAAACTATTCAATAGAATAGTGTACAAGGATTAACCCTTAATGTCGTGGGTGGGTGCAACCCATCCTATAATCAGTGTAATTGTGCACAAGAACTAACCCTTATCAGCCAAGTGGTGTGCAAGGACTAATCCTAATAACTCAGGTGAGTGCAAACATTAAGTAAAATCAGTCAAATTGTATTCGATGACTCATCCTAAATTATTGGTTTTGAATTACGGATTATGGCGTCGAGGACTGATGCCGGAATATTGTGAAGTCATAAACGTTAATTATTTCTCCGCACCATCGGACTTTGGCGTGTCACACCATCGCACTTTAGCGTACGTGTATCATAGGAAACGAGCCATCGGACTTTGGCGTCCGTACAGACGTCAACCCATCGGGGTTTGGCGCAGACCATCGGACTTTGGCGAGACCATCGGACTTTGGCGTCACCATCGGACTTTAGAGTCCTCTCTCTCTCTCTCTCTCTCTCTCTCTCTCTCTCTCTCTCTCTCTCTATATATATATATATATATATATATATATATATATATATATATATATAAATTACATGTATGTTTACAGTCCAAATACTAATTAATTTGATTAAAATGATTTTACCCTAAAAAAAATTTCAGTAGTAAATATCAAACGAAAGAAAGACTAGGAAAGACATATGGTGTATATGTGGAATTATCATTATATTCGTAGTTAAGTTCTTTGATTTCGTTGGCCGCACTTTTCCACGTCAATGACTTTGTCAAAGTATTGGTCATGTACATGTACTACGAAACAAAAGACCAAAGAAATTACCAATCCACAATCCAGTACGATTTTGATTGCAATGATTATTGGCCATCTGAAAAAACAATTATTCCGATGTATTCTGATATTTTCAAATACAAGTTTTTGAATATATAGTGGTGTAAATACATATAATACATACCTGGGACAATGATACATTCACACGCTGTAAAATATATGGCATATCCCTTACCGAGTTCCTGAAAAGAAAATACAAATCGAATCAGATTATTTTTGACTGTGAATCTTAACTATTATTTAATAATTCTTACATAATTTTTAAGGTACTTTTACAAATATTTCAGGATGCCTCCCTGGGTACTTCGGTAATAACTGTACCAGACATTGTAGCCCTGGTCGATATGGGGAGGGATGCTCCAATCTGTGTACAGAATGTGATGTGTCTCAATGCAATGTATCCTTTGGTTGCCCTGTATCCACTACAGGTACATGTACAGTATATTTATATAATCTGCATATATACTATGATAAAACACTTTTCACTTGGTGACATAATTCATAAATCTTCCAAAATTTCTTTTTAATAACGGTATCTCATAATTAAAATTAAAAAAAATTAACATTTTTTTTTTTCATTTTAAGTAAACTAGAACTTATCATGCACCTTATGATTATGTAATATTTAAAAATAATAAAATTTACTTAGAAATTCCTACGCCGAAAATACGGGTACCAGAGATGCAAGAATTGAATAAGAGAAGTGAGAATGTATCAATGGAATCACTTCCAAAATCAAATTCCAAAATTCCAAGAGAAAACGCACAAGACATCCCATGGAAAATACTGTCTGTAGCGTTTTCCATTGCAACATTTGCCGTAGTATTGCTGTACATTGCCAAAAGAAGCTGCAAAAAACCAAACATTGTAATGGCACCAAAAGAAAACTCCAAGGTTACATGGCCGAGCAACATTGTGGACGGATCTAAACTTGGGTACCAAAACTACCAACCTTTGCATAATGAATCTGTGTTCAATGGAACGGCCAATGTTACCATCAACATGGACACTGAGGAGAAGAACTTTACAGTTATTTTGAAAACTGACCAAAATGATGGAAGGTTGAATAGACACCATACAACAGAACCGAAAAGGAACATGGGGAATTCCATAAATGAAAATGGAAAAATCTATGAATCGTACATTAACAGAGAAATTTAATAATTTTTTGGAGCGCCAAACGTCAGAAAAATTGGCTTCTCTTATCATCTGCTATATACAGAGTTGGAAAATGAAAACAATTATAAAAGTTTCGCCTCAAATTCAAGCTTATTGCAGCTAGTGGCCTATTTTAGACTGACTCGGATATAATGTGTTATCAAGTGAATATGTAAGGGGCGTATGAATAAATTATGAAAAGATTCCCCAACAAATTAGATTCATATACATCAAATTACACTAAAAATAGAAAACTAGAAACAAGCATCATGATAATCTCTCTGGTGGAAGACGATAATTTTATTCCCAATTTTTTTCTGTTGTTGGGGATTTTTCAAGAATTATTTAATGACTTTGTTAGTGTGTGTTGCAGATATCTTTCTGGGAGTCAGTGATTTTTTTTTTTCAAGCTGTTCATTTTTATTGATTTGATGTTCCCCATGTCATGTACATATTGTGTTGTTTTGTGTTCTTTTTTTTTTTTTTTATATATTTTGTATATTTAATTTCTTGATGTCAAAATGGGCGTAGCCCCTGTGTACAAAAATTGAAGCGCACTCGTCTTAAAAAAAAATAAATTTATATATATTCTAAATTGCTAGGTCAGATTTAATTTCATGTATCTAAATTTAAATTTTCAAGAACA